TTATTCGCGTATTTTGCTGCACGGCTTACGTGACCAACATCAGTTTTTCGAAATCCAGTTTAGGGCGTTCTTCAATACTGGTGCTTATGCTGCAAGCACTTCATTGACTGCGTTGTATTATTTGAGATCCCAAAAATTTTGCCAGTCAATAAATATCGTAAGACCCTATATTTCTCTAAGCTGGTAAACGTGCGAAGTATAACCAGCTGACCGGGCAACGCTGCTACGCCGTGAGAATGTCCGACGTGGCATCTGCTCAGTGCTCACATCGTCTGCTAGATCTTTTGTTTTACCCGCCATGTTAATTACTATTCCCTCCGTATTGTCTATGCTAAACTAGTAAACACCCCTCGCTCTCTCTAGTTGGCGCTGAGGGAACAAACCTGACCTAGTGTCCGGTGGCAACAACTGTGAACACGTAACGACATTGCACCAAGTCATCATTTTGCTGCACATGCGAGGAGTCATTTACCACAAAATAATTGAATGTAGTCGCATTTTTACGTATTGAAAATAATACCATTTGGGAGAAACTGGTGCTACCATACATTAAAGAAAAGTATTTTAGTATAATTTTCAATAGTTTGAATGTTATATTCTGGTAAAATACAGCCACTTTGAGTGAGTTTCTCCCTCGTGATTCCACGAAATGGTCATTTGTCAAACCGAGGGACTCCTACGGCAGACACTGGCCACCATCGACATTCTCGGCAATGTCTGCTATGGTAGAAAGTTGAGGGTTGCTTGTCGGGCTAATTCCAAAGTTTACTGTCGTCCACTCGATTAGTTCTGAGCTTTGGCTGGGATCAAAGTTAAAACAATTATAATCGTTGTGCAAATTACCAAAATAAATATCAACACAATTATTTTTATATAAGCACTCTCGGTAATTATAAACCAATATATTTATTTTCATAACGGGTAGTCTTTAATTTCTAAATTTGGTCGTTTAGTCAGGTCTTTTATTTATACAACGAAAAAGAAAGATGTATTGATTTTACTTCAACATACGTTCTTTTTAGACATTTTAAATACAAATGAAATATTTAACATTTTGACAGCCTCGAGAGGCGGAGTGCAAATCATGATCATCTGACATCACAAAAGGGTAATTTGTAAACGTGGTTTTACGCTTTTTGCCTTATGAAATGGTTAATTGCCAGGACCGCCCCTCGTCTGTCCTTGTCCGGCTTCGATTCCACACGCTCTCTGCCGCCCAAACCTTCTTTGTCGACGGCTTCGCATCCGAGCATTTTCTCACTTCTCACATATTATTGGTGAAATGTTGTGCAACCAAAACAAATTTCAAATTTAGATCATCTATACATGCATAGACGTTCTTGGAGTAATAATAAATAAGTAACGCCAAAGATTGTTTTGGTAAGTATTGCATTAAAAGTAAAATTGGTGTTATAAACATAATTTCTTACTTAACGTATTATTCTCTTCATTCTCTTCAGCGTATCTATGGGCATTGTTTAGCATTACATTTCCTGAATCCGTTAAGTCATTAGGTAGCAATCCAAACGTAAGCAAGTTGTTTTTTCTCACATACCAAAACGCATCCATAATATAATTGGCTAGTATGTAGTTGTTCACTTGTAGGAGTAACACACCAGCCACACTATAAAAACGTAAGACGTGCATTTATTTAATGTCTTAATTTGTATATCTGATAACGTCCTTGGTTCAAGTTAGCGCACATAGCAAGCAAACAGCTTATTTAAACTGTGCTTTTTACCTTCGTATAGTCGTGTAGCGTGTGAGAGATGTGGTTGTTTGGGTCCAGTGACCTGCACAGTGTTCATGGCGGGAGATACAGAGGTTATTGCCAGCAACCAGCATTCTCTCTCTGCCTCGGCCAAGGCCGCACCTCCACCTCCTCGGCACTCGCCAGTTACTGTACAAGTTATACAAGTATTTGCGGCGCGGCACCCGGCGACTTCCCAATAGATAAATACATCAGTACGAATATAGCTAATCACTGTGATTCTCCCTGTTGTTTGAAGCAACAATAGTTCTTCAAAATACCATGGTCCCATGAAATCGAAACAACCTTGTTCCATCGAGGTAGACTTCGATCTACCTTCGAAGTCTACCTCGATGCCTTGTTCATAGTCGTTGTATCAACGTACTTTTCTTACCAATTCCGGTATATGTTGATCTGCGGCTTTACCAAAAGCAATAATAAGCTTCTAAATGTGTAAGCTCGACATTGTAGTGACATCGACGCTCGCCTTGTGGTAACGCTATACAGTTGCTCTTATCCTGTGATCATTTTATTCTGCTAATCAGAGGGGCGTAATGGTATAGACTCGCATTTTCATATTTACCATTGTTTTACCCAAGTAGTTGACTCCGTTACTCTAGTGTAAGTGTAAGACAAAGCCGATGGTAGCCGAGCCCCTATTGGTCGACTGCTAGGGGTGGTAGCCAGTACACAGGGAGGGGGGACACTCGCTTCGCTCTACAAGTTCACAGTTCAGTTCCAGTCCCAGTCGAGTTGTGCGCGTCCTCGTCTCAACAACTCCCTGTCTCAACACCAACACCATGATCCACTCCCCTTGTGACGTGTGTCGTTGTTGTTCGAGGTAACATACGTTCTGTACAAGTGTGATGATGTTCTGTGTGCTCTCTGTTTTGTAGTGATGTAGTGTTTGTTTATTTTATCTTTGAGGATATTTTCCTGTTGAACTATGTAAGTTGACTTTTGCACTTGATGTTTCATCTCAGTAAACGGTGTATATACAAGTTTAGTTCATCATTAGCGACTCATTCTTTTCATGCAACAATGTTTTATGTTTATTTTGAAGTAGTGAGGCTAAATTTAGTTGCAAGTATGAATTGGAATTTATTGTTTTAGAAGTTCGTCTTCCTTCATCTTGTGATAATGGAATTAATTCCTGATGATGGCCTATTAATGGATAGGCTATAGTAAATACAATTTTGCAAATTTCTCAGTTTCATTTTATATTTTGTAAAGTTAGCCTACTCAAAACGAGATAGTTACGAAAAAATATTTGCTCACAAATAAGTTACTCACAGCAGCAAGCATAGCATTCATAGAGCTAACAATTACGTGCGTTCTGTGCAGTGATCTTAGACCGACGTGTAAATGTCTCCGTACTATGAACCTGTTATAACACTCAATTACTTGTTAGTCCAGTAGTTCTATGCCAGATACAATTTAATTAAAACATATCGCTTCCAATACAGTTAACTGTAAAAGTCAGGCATACTAAGAGGTTTCCTATATATACAGTAGATAAGGTACACCTCACTTTCACTATCTTGCATTTCACCATTACGCGGGGAAGGGCTGGTCGGTGTTTATTGTTAACTTAATATCAAAAACTTATGTGTTATGTATATATGTTATTTTCTTTTCATTATCAACGATTTTCCCTAGTATATGTAACAGAATATGTCAATCTGAGGCTGTAAATAGTTATAGAGCCTATATAAATGTAGCAATTATTGTGCTGCTGAAGGTAGTGTAATAGTTGTTTCTGGTGGTCGTTTTGCCAACTTTGTTCATTGTTAATATCCGTGAATTACGCGGCAGCGGATTGTTGTGGAGGGAAAGTGAACATTGACCCTTGTTTCCCGCCGGCGCGCGATCTCCCGCGCAGGCTGTCACTTACAGCTGATCGCTTGGTTACCCCACCCCCACTGACATTATCATTACTTGTGTTATCAAATGTGTTCACGATCAAATAATCAATGGTTAATTATCGTTAGTCATACTACTTTATTGTATGGCTACCATATTTTCGTTTGGTTAGCATTCTTCGTCGTCAAAGTCTCGATTTAGTCGAGAAGTACCTAAAAGTTTACTATTAATAGGTGGCAAAATTTGTAAGCTATGTAACCCGATTTTTCGACTTAATGTAGGTTGCTTTATTTAATATTGCCTTTGAAATTGAAAATAAGCATAGTACTTTGAAGGTTTATACAGAAAGTTGTGTACCTCCCAAACTCGTAGTTTCGCACCCTATGCATACAATCACAATCAGTGAATGGGTACTTTAGCACCTGTTGCAGTGTTTCCTATACAGTACGATTGGCATGATGATTCTCTAGCGTTTACATGGAGTGGAACTGCGGTCAGGCGAGTCTTCTTATATGCAAATATATGAATAATGCGGAAGTACGTTGAGAAGGGGTTGCCAAGGCCATACTGGACTTTCCCCTAACCAAAATACCCTCGATCCACATTTAAAACTAAACGAGTCTTGCAGTGCACAATTTTAGAATCTTTAATGTTCTTTACTCATTTTACAAAGCAATAGTGTTGAGATCGTCATTTCGATAATTGTCTCATAGTATTTACACCGTTGTTAAATATATCAAAGAAATAATAGTAGATTTTATTAAATAGGTTAAAAAAAGCTGACCTAGTTTAAAATCCAATTTCTCTCAAATTGTTAATACATGACTGTTGTATGCTTTCAGCCGTGTGTAATTGGGAGGTAATGAAATTAATACAAAATGTTACAATACACTAAAAAAATTCAGACAAACTTTGATTGCAGGAATAATGTGTTGAATTTCAAGAAAAACTACGTCAGTTTTTACCAAAAGTTTATTGAAAAACAGTAGATCCCGAAATAAATGTCTAGTGAAGAGAATGTAGGTGTTTGTGTAATGAGAATAAGTTTCTCTGATCTCGGCAAACAGTTATAATTTGATAGTTAAAAAACCAAAACAAATCAACTGGTTTCTACTAGGCCTACGTATCCACATTGGTTATGATTTGATATTACACTCAAGGATAGCGCTATTTATTACCGGTATTAAGTTATTAACTATACCATTCTGTTTTAGGTCTACCCAAGAAACTTGCTGTTCATTATAAAAATCTAATTGTATTTGATGTCTGTGATGTTGCCATCTTAACAAAATAGTCGCGTTGTGTGAGGGTTGTTATTTTCTTTGTATATATCATATACAAAATATATATATTGTCGCTATGTTGTACGTTGTTGATGTTGTTGTAGGTTGCTGAAGCAGAGTCTCAAGTTCAACAGTCCCAGTACACCTGTGGCTCCAGTGCGGAGAACAAGCGTAGTTCGTCGTCTGGGTTCCCTGTCTGATGAGAATTACAATCCTATGCTCAGTAGCCCTGAGAAGACCTTTGTCAGCCCATCCAAGGTAAATATACCATACGATCGCCAAAATATGAGATTTTTAAAATAATATTTTTACTCTATATACCAACCATCTTGCACTTAATGGATCAAATCAAACGTTAGGCCCACTAAACTAAAATATGTCTTACCTTTGTCAACAGCTTAATTATGGCTGGTAGACGCTTTAAAGATTTTGATTGAAGCAGTGTTGCAAAGTTTAAACACATAGCCTAACAAACAGACATTTTATGATACTGTAAGTACTGTTTAACAAAATAAATTTGTCTAGGAAGGCAAGCCTATTTTGTTATATTACAGCTCTGGCAGTAAAACATCTCTACCCTACCTTACATTATGATGAGCATTTTATGTTACTCACAAGTGTTGTTATACAGTTCCAGGCAGTCAGACAATTGTCCAGTGGTCGTATTAGACAGCCCCTGGAGGACCAAGACCCCAACTCCCAGGACTCAGGCTACTGTCACTCTGAAGACTCAAAGTCTGTATCCTCTGACTTCACATTTGCTCTACCCAGTGGTCTGGCTCCTCGTCGCAGCACTACCGAGTCTCCCCGCAGTCGCACTTCTAGTGAATCTGTTGACGATGGCTTCTTGGACTTCTCTTCACCTGTGAGTGTCTAAACCTATTCTTATAAACAAAATCACAAAGTCTACTGCTTGTTAATCCTGTTAGTAACCCTGTGTACTTTATTATTAGCCTATTAGATCAAAGTATTTGTACCTGGCATTTTTCAAGAGGGATTAACAAGGGATTTTTTTATTTCTAAGATGGCACCTCTATCGCTCACCATTGTCAGTTAGAGACGATTCTTTAGAGTACATGTTTAGTCAAACGTAAGAATGTGTGTCCTGGGGCCAAACTGAAAACTACTGTTCTTAGAACAATATTAGAGTAAGATTTCAATTTAGTTTATTTGGTTAAAAAAAGAAAAAATAGGTTTGTAATAGCTAAATTGGTTTTATAGCCGAAGAATTGGCAGGACATTGATAATAACCGGTGATTATAATGTTGCTAAAGCCACTGACTTACTTATGCACATTGTCCTGTATTGCGTTTTTAACATTGTTGTATTCAGTTACAGGATGAAGAGGCTCAATTACCAGCAGGTCTCGGTGGTCTTATCAAGGACCCAATCATCAACTACGGTCTCTCAGCTGACTCAGCCCACTTTCAGAACTTTCGTCAAATTATCTCGGAAAACATCCCTGGACTGTCGCCCATTGTTGAAGAAAAGGCCAAGAAACGTGTGTCCAACACTCCTCTGGATATCACTCCTATCTCAAAACGATACAAGGTAGCTGCAATGTCACAAGTTGATTATTGAAGTAGCTTTTAAGCTGTAAATTGGCCATACTGTTGAAACTACCCTTAAAGTCACTGGTAAACTGGTCACCATAAACTAATTTTCAAAACAATGGCTATGGTTAGGAGTAATTTTGAGGATCTTTGTTTTAGCTAAGATAATCTTTTGGTAATACAATTTTTAACAAATTTATGTAGTGAAAACTCCAAAACATTTCATAACTGCTGTACTGTCTTAGTTTTCATTCATCTTTATGCTTTGACCAGTCAACAAAGACCTAAACAACAGTGTAATCCTGTAACAGTAGTATGCATATATTTACTTACTGTATGTGGTTTACAGGCAAACAGTGAGCACGCGACACCTCCACGCACCAAGCAGCACACCCTGTTCCAGTTTGGGTTCAAGCGGTTGTCTGAGCCTCGGCCTCTGCTAAGCCACAGTTTATCTCTAGAGGAGCCCATCACTCCTCCGCCAAGACCCAAGTTCCGTCACTGCCTCTCCGAGTCTGAGGCTGCCATCAAATCTGCTTTACACAGATGTGAGTTCTCCTTGCTATTCAAGGCTTGTCAACGAGAATTTGATGTTAACCCTTCAACATATACTGTATTTAGCTTTTTTAGTAGGTAGTTCCTTTTCTTTTGCTCTTTAGTGACTGAAAAAAAACAACCACTATTTTGTCTTAAATTACTATCTTACTCCTCAAAAAGGTTGTAAGACAACTTGAAATTATCTGTCAGCCTACTGATTTAATTTGACTCTAACGTAAACAAAAAAAACAGGCACAACATTTTGACACAAATATAACTTCAAAATATTCACATGTTGTTTACTAATATTTTTGTTTTCCAAAAAAGGTTAGGCAACCAAATAAACCTAAATTTGACACAATTACAAGTGCTGCAATCCCTTGGACTAATGCTGAATTAGTAGCAATGTCCCAGGACGGTACAGGGGGACAAGAATGTTCCGTCCATGTATGCCAGTGGGTGAAAGCTTAGAATATCTATAATAATAACAGTCACAACTTTTCAGCCTCGTTAATGTGTGTTTTTTTATGTTTCAGCACAAGAAGAAGAGTTAATTGGAGACTTTTCAAAAAGATTTGCTCTGCCGTTAATTCCCGGGAGTCATCAGGACCTTAAGAGCATCAGCCCAAGCACATTAGCTAGACTCATCAACGGAGAGTTTGGCGACACCATCGCATCCTTCCAGATTATAGACTGCAGGTAAATTAAAAACTAGGCTTCGGTTAAATGCATTATCTCATTAAATTTACTTGGGTTATGCCAGAATCTGTATTTTTAATGATTTTATTTAAGTTATCTGCGTAGTTATATTTTGTCTTTTAATTTGACTGTTCATTACTAGTCTTACGTTTGGTGAATAAATTATATTGGGGGAGTGTATCTTATATCTAATTTGTATATGATCACACTGGTTTCAAACCTCTACAGCAAGTGAAAGGATAGAAAGAGAAACTATTCCTGAGTTTTGTTTTAGAAACCCCTGTAGTTTTAATATTAGATGTACAATGCAGTTGTCTTGTTGCAATATTGAATGGAGCACGCATAATAATACAACACTTCTTAGAAATGTAACCTCAAACTGTTTCCAATAAACTCGGGTTCGCATAAATGAGATGTCTTCATGCAGTATCCGAAGACAATGATACATCTGGTTCACATAAATGAGATGCCTACTTGCAGTATCCAAAATCAAAGCTGCGTCTATTCCACGTAAATAAGATGTCTACTTGCAGTATCTAAAGGCAATGGGTCATTTGGTTCACATAAATGAGATGTCTACTTGCAGTATCCAAAGTCGATGGTACGAATACTTCTGGTTCACGTAAATGGGTTGTTTACAAGCCGTATCCCATGTCAATGATATATTTGGTTCACATTTAATGGAATGTATGTTTACATCAGGTATGACTTCAGTGGTGGTTTTATTTTGGTTTGTTGTTTTGCAGGTATCCATATGAGTTTGAAGGGGGCCACATCCGAGGGGCTCGCAACATGTACACCAAGGACCAGGTGATGAAGGAGTTCCTAGAAGAGCGCAAGGGAGAGCCTCCTTCCACCACCACAGCTGATGGCAAGAGACACATCATCGTTTTTCACTGCGAGTTCTCATCAGAGAGAGGCCCAGGTCTGTCGCGGTTTCTTCGCTCCAAGGACCGTGAGAGTAACGCGTACCCGGCACTGCACCACCCCGAGCTGTATCTGCTGGAGGGAGGCTACAAGGCGTTCTACCACACGTTCCCTGCGCTGTGTGAACCTCAGGCCTATCGCAAGATGGTGGACGCAGACAAGGAGCAGCTGCAGCATTTCCGAGCCAAGAGCAAGACCTGGAGTGGAGACAGGAGCAGTCGCACACTCAAACGTTCCACCTCCTTCAAGCGACTCGGTCTCTAACTAACCTCGGAGCAAACGTGATTCCAAACTGATCTCATCAGAGCAGATTATCATACCCAGCTTTTATTTAGTTTAATTTTGTTATGAGTTAAAATTTTATTTCGGTGATTCGATGCCTGTGTGCTATGTTAACGAAATTTTTTTGGGGTACACGTGATTTAGATATAGTTTATTGAATAATTGTTTTTGTTACTCCTAGTCGAAAACGTTATTTTTAATAAGTACGCTTTTGATCGTTAGACTTCACATTGTGAATCGGTGTACTTAACAAGGTTTTGGCATTATCAATTTGTATTGGGCTCTTTTAATAAAAATCAAATATGTATTATTTTTTAATTAGTTTTAAATGGTTTTAATGACTAGGCCTACAGATAATATTTCAATACATTTTTAAAGATTTTAAGATTTAAAGAACTTTTTTAACAGTTTTTTTTATTACTATCTTTAACGCAAGTTGTATTTTGATAATTGTTCGTATTCGTTGTTGGTTCAGTTTATCATCTCAAATCATAGCAAGTAATTTTACTGAGATTTCATAAGTCAGTAAGTATTTAATCAACAATTTTATAAATCACTAAATAATCAAAACTACGATTCATATGAATTCTGTGTAAATGATAAAGTTAGGTTAACGTTATAACTGAGATGGGCGACTTTACAATTTTTTAAGAGAAATTTTTATGATTTACTTTAAATAACTCCTTTAATAATTTTTACAAGTGTACTGTAATTGGATGTAAATAAATATGATGATCCCTCGAGATACAAGGCTATCAGGGATCTTCCTGAACATATAATTTTGGTTGTTTGGTTTCTTTTTAAGGGGTTTTGATGAAAACTTAAAAGTAGTAATCAATAGCAAATTCTTGATACTTCATTATTCTAACAATTTTAATGATGTTTTGATTAACAGTTGATAAATTCGCCCATCTCACTCCTTGTACATATGTAATTTAATGTCACCCTATCTTACATCCGACTGGCATTGATCCACATAAAAGTTAATAGTTACCAAAGTGCTGTTACTCTGGACTCTGGTGAAGACTTAACTACTCTGGTTGTTGTCTCTCACACTTGTGCAATTTTAGGAATATTCCAGTTTAATAGAGTTATTTAAAATTTAGATATCAATAGTAATTTATATAGTATTTAATAGAGGGCTAGATTTGGTATTCGATTACCTTGTATAATAAATTGCCTTTAAGTACAACAAACTGTTTCTTTTGACCTCTTATCAAATGATTTTTATGTGTGAAACAAACATGATGATAACCAGTAGCAAAATGGCTTTTTCTGGTAAAATTTTGCAATTACGTAAATAAACAAGAGACTGGCGGCATGGCATGGACTATTGGATACTGAAGTAGACTTCACATCTATGTGGACCATTTAAAAGAGATGTAGTTGTGTGAGCCAGTCACAGAATGTGGTAGTGTCTAACATTCTATTTTCTACCTTATTTATTGTTGCTGACCAACTTGATAGGTCAACAGTAGCTATAGTTTACTATAAGGCTTTGTTTGTTTAATAACTTGGTAAACAAGTTTTTATATTTCACAGAAATCAGCAATTTCCAATCAGCACAATCTGTCAGTGGCTCACATCAACTAAAATCTAACATCCCGTGTGGTACTAGATCTATCTATCTGGTTGCAATAGGCCTACTATGAACAGTTATAGGTTCCCTAAGTTATTTGTTCTTGATAGCTGTAAAATTAAGGCCCTTTAAGGCTCCCTTTGTTCTTGAAAAAATGAAGTTACTTTCAGAATGACTGATATTGTAGGCTGGGACATTTACCATAGAGTTGTAGATTATTTCTTTATCTAAAACTCACAAACAAGGAATGAAATAATGCGAGTGCATTATAATGCTACAAGAGCCATAAATTGTTTAGCCATAACAGGCATTTTCTTATTGCTTCTCTAAACGTTGTGGAATTAGTAGGTAGTAACCATTGGCATTGATATTGTTCTATCCATTGTCAAATGTAGTACTCCTTCCCGCAGATTGAGCTTGGGGCTAGAATTCATGACTTACAATTTATAATCGAAAAACAGCAAAACAAATTCAGTGAAGATCACCTTTACACCTATTTTGCTCCACATTCAAAATAGAATTTATTTTAGTTTCAAAGCCATGTCCTGTAAAATGACGATGTTTTGTCACATGATAAAATATCTATATAATTAATACGCTACATGAAACTTTGTCGGTTGAACTCCTCCGCCATTTCTTAACAGATTTTATCCATTGACGTCTCATTGGAAAGAACGTGTCGCGTGGATTTGCAAACTGGCCTTACATTTTTGAAAAAGTCGCTTGGGCTCTGCCCCAGTGGCTTTAAAAGTTCCCATGTTATCCTTATGAAGAGCATAATTATCGACATTTTGATCAGCTGTATAATTTAATTGCTGTTTTTAGTTTTTCGATTCAAAGTCTTTTTACTCATCGGAAATTATGATGACTTTAATTTGTTTTTAAATAACTACTTTACTCCTTTGCAATTGCTCGATTTTGAGCAACGTGTTTACTAGTCTATATATTAATTTGAAACTGTTTTTCTTTGTCATAGCTATTTTGAGAGAACGGCTGGGCGTAGAAACTCGGTAGGTGTGTCTAAAGAAAGGGCTTGGTGTGTAGATGAGCCATCAAAAGAGAAACGTGGTAAATTCCCTTGGGGCTCTGCCCCGGTGGCCTATAAATTCCCATCCCATGTTAGTCTTATGGGAGAAAAACGGGTTTTTGTCACAGCTAATTTCAGAGAACGGCTGGGCGTAGAAACTTGGCAGGGGTCTCTAAAGAAAGGTCTTGGTCTGTAGATCAGCCATCAAAAGAGAAACGAGGTAAATTCCTTTGGGGCTCTGCCCTAGAGACATTTAAAGTTCCCTCTTCAGATTTGTTTACATTACGACCATATGCGTAATTTTACACTACTTTTTAATGAACAGCTGTTAATTTAAACTGCGATTTACTGAATTTGTCAAAATGAAGTATTTGCAATGACTTTTTCTGATTTTAAAATCGATTTTCTTCTGCATCATGTCATGTTTTGCAATGTAACGTTATATTACCAAATCAGTGGAAAATCCTAATATCACAGTAACTGTTAAAATTATTTCTTATGGAGTTAACTTATATCTATTTTATGGGTTGGTTTCTGCTCTTTTTACCACTTCTTAGAGAGTGTACTTAGGCGTGTTGCACGTAGACGATATTCTTTGGCGTATTGCATCTGTAGACGATACTTGGGTGGGTGTAGTTATTACAATGGAAAAAGTGAGAAAGCCTGGACAATTTGATATACTACAAATAAAACTGAATTAACACTGTGCTACATTTCTTGAGCAATCATTGAAAGAGCCGATTTGCAAACAATGGAAACATAGGAAAGTCATAGAACACAACCAAGTAGAAGAAATAGAAAAAATGTTTTTTTTTTCTTTTTTTCATTTATAATCGTTATTATAGACAACCTGATGCGGCTATGAGTAGGAATCATTTGTAGAAAACACTAAAAAACAAGATCAGCTTTCAACTCTTTTGATTATATATAACTGTTGTGTAGATCGTGAGTATTTCCATAATCTTTGAGTCAACTCTTATAAAGTCATCAGAAGTTATGACTGTTATTCGTTTTAAAATAACGCCTGTAATGCTTCGCAATTGCTCGAATTCGAGCAACAGGTACACTAGTATATATTAATTTGAAACTGTTTTTCTGTGTCACAGCTAATTTAAAAGAACAGCTGGGCGTAGAAACTTGGTAGGGGTGTCTAAAGAAAGGTCTTGGTTTGTAGATGAGCCATCAAAAGAGAAACGAGGTAAATTCCTTTCGGACTTTGCCCCAGTGGCCTTTAAAATTCCATTCCCATGTTATTCTTATGGAGGAAAAAATGACATTTTTATCACAGCTAATTTGAGAGAACGACTGGGCATAGAAACTTGATAGGGGTGTCTTAAGAAAGGTCTTGGTATGTAGATGAGCCATCAAAGGAGAAACGAGGTAAATTCTGTTGGGGCTCTGCCGCAGAGGCCTTTAAAGTTCCCTCTTCAGATTTGTTTACATTACGACCATATGCATAATTTTACACTACTTTTTAATGAAACAGCTGTTCGGGGGGGGGCAATTATATTTAAATTGTGATTTACTGAATTTGTCAAAATGAAGTATTTGTATAAGTCGATTTTCTTCTGCATCGTGTCATGTTTTGCAATGTAAGTTTCTATAACCAAATCAGTGGAAAATCCTAATATCACACTAACTCTTAAAATTATTTCTTATGGAGTTAATTTATTTCTATTGTATGGGTTGGTTTCTGCCTTTTTTACCACTTCTTGGAGATTGTACGTAGGCAAGTTGCACGTAGACGATATTCTTTGGCGTATTGCATCTGTAGACGATACTTGGGTTGGTGTAGTTATTACAATGGAAAAAGCGAGAAATCCTGGACATGAGTGGGAAACATTAATTTGTAGAAAACGCTAAAAAACAAGATCAGCTTTTGAAAAATGATAAGATATTTACAAAAAATTTTGGTTATATCTAACTGTTGTGTACATCATGAGTATTTCCATAATCTTTGAGTCGACTTTTATAAAGTCATCGGAAATTATGACTGTTATTCGTTTTCTAAATAACGCCTGTAATGCTTTGGAATTGCTCAAATTCGAGCAACAGGTACACTAGTTTTGAATGAATTCCAGATTTTGTGTTGTTCATAACCATTAGTTGTTGATATTGTTAGATATCCGGGTGTTTTGTTTTAATGTCTTGCATCTTGCTAATTCGTATGGTGCTTGGAAACTCTCACATTATTTCAAGCACACTCAGTGTCACAATCTTTCACAACATTCACAATCTTTGTTGCACTGAATTTACTCCTGATACAAACAATGGGAGATCTGTTTATTTTTACCGCCAACCATCGCTCTCTCAGAAATAAATAGACAATGAAATCAGATGGAAATCCTTGAAATCCAATACTTCTTTAGGAGCATATTATCAAAATGCATTAAATAAAAATTTTCCTGAACACACCGTATGGTCTTATGTAACTTGAAAGTGACTATTATTATCTTACTAATATTTTGAATGTGAAAGTTTGTGTGTTTGTTTGACGTTCAATCATGCATAAACCACTGGACGGATTGGGCTGAAATTTGGCATGATGATAGCTCACATTCCCGATTAACATATAGACATATTCTTATCGCAAAAATCCTTTCGGGCTCCGCCCCAGTGGCTCTATAGTTCCCCATGTTAATCTTATGAGTATTCATATTTAAAAAGAATTAAAGAATTTAGTCATTTCACTCATTCATTGTCACTCCCCCATTGCAAACGCAAAGCTTGAGTATAACTGCAATAAGCATTTTAAACCTATAAGCCAACCCCGTACGAAGGACGGGTATTCTGCTAGTTAATTAATATTTGTACAATCATTAGTCTTTACAATTTTAAAATATGTATTACCTATTATGTAACCAAAATAAAAACTAACAATTAGTTAATTGTAACTTGCAATACAATAGGAACTATTTTACAACAATCACAATGTTTTTTCTGACCTTAGTAACAAAGGTCAGTTACGGTACGTATCTCAATGACTGTAGGTGAGGGTGAGGCCATTATAATATTTCTCTCCATTTTATATTTTAATGTTCACAGAAGTTTCCAGAAGGTTTTCAACCTAGTGTTTTATGGTGAAAGTTGCTGTGCTTTGTTATGTAAAAGTGTGAATGTTGCAGATTACAATCCTCTGATCCTATTGGGTCTATGAAGGGCTTCCGAGCTCGCTGTGATTGCGACATTGCTAGTAATCCGCAGATCATCTCTATTTGGTTTTACTAGAACTTATTTGTAATCACTTGAAATTAAGTTTTCAACAGTTGCATGAAATTTTAAATTTTGGGTGGTTCCAAATACAGGGCTGGACAAATGTGCTGATAACCCTTATATATTTATTTACCTTTTAATGGATCACTCAAGGAAAACTAAACCCTGCACACGTTTATACAGCATAAAATTACACTTTCTGGTCAATATTGATTTTATAGGTAGCCCTAAAATACTTAATGTAAAGCCCCATTAAATAGCACCTCCTTTTAAAGGCCTTCTATACAAAATACTAGAGGTCTATATTTCAACCAACCAAGAAGCCTACTTCTATACCATAAAATGTGTGCAGTGCAGAATAAAAAAAAATGTGTGCAGTGCATTGAAAAAGAAAGGGGACATCCACACATTTGCCTAACACAGTATTCCTTTTATTTCCAAAATATATAGTAATAATTGAGGAGTAACTTTAATTCCGCTCTACGTCTGAAAATCATTTCGTTTTCGTTTTGCTTTTATCATTAGAATCAGACAGGAAAACAAAGTTGTGTATTTTAAGCTGAATATTATACCATAAGGCTGCCATCAGTCAATACACATCCTTGACAAGTGTATTACAGGTTGATTCTAAAACGAGCTTATAACCTTGACTGTCAGTAATTCATTATGTATAACATCTGAACCGCACCTGACGACTGTAAGGAGTTGCTGAACTAAGCAGGAAATCCACTAGTCCGACGCTCTCCGTTCTGTTTCTGTCAGTCTTCGATACCTACAGTCAAAATTTCTTTGCAAGGCTTTGGATGAACCAAAACCCATTTGTTCGCTCTGATTCTCTGCTTTCCTTTCCATCTCCGTCAATTGACATTGTTCTCTAGGGAATTTTTGACAAACGTCAGATCCGATGTAGAAGAAATAGAAATAATGTTTTTTCTTCATTTATAATCGTTAATAAAGAGAACCTAATGCGGCTATGAGTGGGTAACATTTGTAGGAAACACTAAAAAAACAAGATCAGCTTTTGAAAAAAGATAAGATATTTACAAAGAATTTTGATTATATCTAACTGTTGTGTACATCGTGAGCGTTTCCATAATCTATGAGTCGACTTTTATAAATTCATCGGAAATTATGACCGTTATTAGTTTTAAAATAACGCCTGTAATGCTTCGCAATTGCTCGAATTCGAGCAACAGGTACACTAGTTTTGATTTAAGCAGTTATAGAGTATCCATTTCTTTACCCAGTAAGTGATAGAAGTGATCATGATAACAGGAAGAAGGTCTACACCGGGCAGGAAATAAGTGAAAAATTTGATAATATGACAGGTAAGTTTATTAGTGTGTGTGTGTGTAATTATTTTTCGTGTCAATATAAAAAAACTTCACATTCATTTTTTTAAATCATCAATCAAATGAAATTCACTGTACTCATTTTCTTCTTTTGAATATGATATTATATACCCAGAATCAATGTTTCCCTCGTGATCGCTCCTCATTTTCAGCGCACAACGCAGATGCCACAAACAACTCCTCGTCCAAAGAACTTTCCATCGTGACTGGTGCATTTCTTGACGGTTACTGATGGACCCCGACAAACCAATGTGCAAAATGACCCCCATATATGGCCCAACCAGAGAGCACAGTTGCTCTCTGGGCCCAACGGTATAAAATGGCTTATTGCCTTTGAATTGGCGGAAGGCGTCGGACCCAGGCGGAGACTGAGTGGAATGGAGAGCATCAGACTAGTGGGTTTTCTACTTAGAGCTACGGTATTCAAACTTTCATGTAAAACAATTTTTCCTCAATTTATTGCTTAAGGTGTTTCCCTGTGTAGTCATAGTCCTTAATTATTTTCCTTTTTTTCATTGGAAGTAGGTTTTTTTCAACTTTGTCCTCTATGACTTTTTAACCACAATTCTACATCAATATAGTTACTGATATATAATTAATTATATAAATAAATTATTATATGATGATACATAATATTCTATGATATTAGGTACTGTATGTAGAGGAATATGTTTAGGAAACTACCTGTTTAAAATCATAAACATCCACATTAAAATCCATAGGGAAGCTTAAAATAATAGCAGAATTCATGTTTTCAGTTGTACAAGGTTTAATTCACTCTTGCTTGTCTTTAAAAATTGTAATTACAATGTTTATAAATTTTGCAGTTTTAAATAAAAATGTATTTAAAAACTGTTATAAAAGATTTAAGACTCAATGAGAAATACATCAAAACCAGTTCATAAGAGTGAGTAAGTACCAAAAATAACAGTTAAGATATACTTAGTCTTAGTGATAAATGTTTAGACATCATATACTATTTTGGACACACTTTTCTTGATTCGTCCCAATTAGTGTTGTACAGTAACCCCGAACAAAAGTTTGAAAGTTTTATTAATATTTTACCCAGTATGTTGATTGAAAGTTACTTATCAACAGTAGTAATGTACAAAAATAAAACAATATTATATACAGAAGCCCCAAGTTTATGTACATATTTTGAAGGATACTAGGAAATATGTTTATCTCTATTACAACAACTAGAAAAAACACACACACATTAAATTGTACTTTAACATGATTACATTATCCTCCTATGTGCAAATAACTGATAACAACGATAAACATATAAATACTACAACATTTTTATATCTTTTAACTTGCATAAATGTATTAAAATACTCTGTAACCAATATGTAAGGAATAATTTAACTTTTTAACTGTATGCAAATAGGGCTATACTATTATACTTGGACATAGTTTAAAAAAGGTAATATCATATAGGTACTTTTTTCCAATGGAAGGTAACTATAAGTTTTCTTCTTATTTACTTTAATACAAATATTACTGTCAAAATAAATTACTGTATCTTTTTTATCAAAATCAAAACCAACATTGTGTTCCATTCAAAATGTAATTGAATATTACTCAAATCTATTTTTCTGAAAGGAAACTCATAATACAAGTGTTTTGCTCAGTCTGTAAAAAAAGCTCATGAACTCATAGAAAAAAATTAAATTATATTTTTTAAATCTAGACAAAAAATATAGAAAATTTATTTTTATCTATAGTATACATTTTTTCTATCCTCCTAAGGTTAAATGGAAGGTTATGGTGAAATGGAAGTTTCTGCATTTCAGTTGTATGGTTGTATACATTGAGTATTTGTCCCACCTTGGAAGAACCTTAGTTGTATAAATATTATACACATTTTGTCCAAAAGTTAAAATTCCTTAAAATGACTGTTGGGTCTTCAACTGTAACATCCACAGTTAATGCTGGTTGAGAGGTTTGGATGGTGTTTATACTTTGCTTTCTCTCCTCAGAGCACCACAATTTGATCTGCCAGAGCAACTATCCTGGAAATACAAGTTTGAATCAATTTTAAAAGCCCATTTGTGTAAAAATTACCTTAATTAAGTAAAGTGGCAAAAATTGTTGTGTTTAAAAAAATCCATTTACCTTTGGTTTAATCAGAAATCTATTTCTTGCAATATTCATCTTCTTTTACCAGATATCAAAAAAGTATATTTAACCAAATTACTACGGTCATTTTCAGTATAAACAAAGTTTTTTCCGTTTTGTGATCTAAATCTTTCTTAGATAACTTAATCTCACCAATACCAGAAATGAAGTTCAAACCAAGATTTTATAAAGGTTTGTACAAATCAATGTAGCATACAACTAATATGTATAATTTATATTGAGTTTTTGGGGGGATGGACAGGTTTTGCTGGTTGTGTAATAGCTATAATACCCCTAGCTTCATCTATCTTTTCTTCTTTAGCACCCCTTATTCAGTCTGCCAGCCGTCGGCTCTTGGAGATGCAGCACTTGTCTCAAAACACCCATTTCTTTTATGTCTTTTGGCTCCATGGTCGCCTTTCCTAGGAATATATTCCTTCCTACCTTCTCTGAGCTAGAGCTGGCTAGTCCAGTCACAAGTTTACAGAGAATTCCACCTCATTGCCCACGTTAGTATTTTTGAAAGGAAGTTCTAAGGGTTTCTTATTGGTCCAATACCAGCCAACAGTAAATCGAGTGTGATTCACTTTAATACATTTATTAATAAATTTTACCATATGCACTTTGCTTATCCTCTGTAGCTATCTTGGAAGTTACCTTCAACTGTTTATGTGAGCTGACAGAGGCAGGGAGTAGTTGTCTGCTACCTCAGAGTTGCTGTCGATGACGTAGTCTGGGTCGGAGGGGAGGGGAGACGGAGGTAGCGGCGAGGTGGACAGTTCCTCCATGGCAGGTAGAACTCTCGGAGTCTCGGCCATCTGGCTGTCATTGTACACTGGCCCATTGTTGCTCATTGACACTGGCAAACATAGAGAAACATCATCAAACATAGAGATCAATCTCAGTCCGATTATCACCACCAGTTAAGATGGGGACGCTACTGGGCGTATACAATACAAATATGAACAAAAGATGTGTGTGGAATAAAATGAAATGCTTTCTGTAGCTATGTTTCTGTATTACACCACCTGTTTCTATAGCCAGGACCATTTATGATAGCCAAATGATCGAAAACAGCAGTGCCCAGTTTTGAACTATCAACAAATCCCTTTTCCTACCGTTACCTACCTGACAAAGTGGGCTTCCTTCCATCGGTTATAGCACGCAAAATAGCTAATTGCTGCATTTACTTACTTTTGCCCCACTCCAGTATTCCAACCAAACAACACAAAACTGTGTGCTTTTATTAGGCACGTAATTTGTCTACACTTGAAAATATGTTGGCAATTACCCTTAAGATACTACGACTACGATCCGCAGGTGCAGCGTTTCCAATTTTGTTCAATGTTAGGATTTAATCTAACCTAAAAACGTGTTGTATAGTGCTTTGTAAAACTAATTATTTATATGCCTCATGGTAACTAAAATATAATGGGTAATGCAAGTGCAAAGTCCCTTTGCTGCATCGAATGCAACATCGCACACTAGTTACACAAATAACTATTCTACGGGTTGAACTGACAACCTTTCGATTTCCAAGAGAGAGACCCAGCTATCATTACCATGATCACATAGGCTAACTGTTCAATCCAATATAAAATGTCACACAGACATTAGTATATTCAACAACAGATTGTGCCAGGTCTTAATAACTAAACATTTTAGTCTTGAGAGACATTTTATAAAAATGGGATGAAAGAGGTTTGTGAAATCAGGTCTTTCAGAGGTTTGAACATGGTAAAGTTATTTGAGGTTGATGTGGTTAAGATAATTGAGGAGTTGAGGGATTGATTGGGCAGTAAAGGAATATGGGTTTTGATTTGAGTATGGGGGAAGTGGTAGGATAGGCACAGCCTCCTGCTTTTTGGGGGCTTTGAAGATGCAGTGGTCTAGAGCTGACAAGAGAAGCAGGTCTGGGTAAGAGAGGAAGGGATTACTGAGAAGTAGAGTTGGGTCAGGGTGGAATAGAGAAGAGACAACGGCAGTTAGCTGAGGATACAAATGGTTCAATGTGATGGCTTTTAGGAAAGTTTCAAAACAAGTTTGACTCCAAGGTACATGTATGTTCACAGGTCCTCTCAAGTATTAGGCGAACATTGTTGAATTCTATGAGTGAGCTACCTTGGTGACGACACTCGCCCTGGTGTCCATGGTAGCCGAAGTTGTAGCTGTGTTGTGAGGGGCCTGGCTTGGTCCCCTGCCAGATAAAGATGTAGTACAGAGACAACATGATGGCGGCCAGTGAGACGCTGAACACGTACGCGATCACAGTCAACACCCGCACCACCTTCTTCTTGTGTTTGGGCTCATACAGCCGGTCTTTGGCCTCCTCGCCCGCAAACTTGATGCTGCCCCTGACACTGCCCCCGGCGCTCTGAGTCGTGCTGCGACCACTCATCGTGCCTCCCGCCTAGTCTACACCGGAACTGTCCACCTTTCTATTCACTATTCACTTCTATTCACACTGAACTGGAATTTCTTTCTATCCGAACCTGGATTAGATAAGTCTTTCAGTCACACCAATTGTTTGAAAAATTGCAAAATTGTGTTTAAGCAAATACACAGGTTGTTTAACAAAACTTGTTTATTTAAAAAGTACCTCTTTGTTAAATAATTTAAAATTGTATGTACCTTGGCTGTGTATCATCATGTAGTTTATTCCCTATTCCAACTTTGAAGAAGGGGTGCTAAATTATCTCCATCTCGTTTTTAGATAGCCGTTGATTTCATCATAGATAAAACGCTTTTATAGCGTTAAGTTCATGCTGATATCAGGTATACGATAAAAGCAGATGTTTACCTAATTATTTTGATTAATAGTCAATCGTAACTAAACAAGCATATAATGACATAATAATTACACAAAATAATCAATGCTTAGATTTTTTATTTATTTATTGTTTATCATCCCATTAAATTAATAAATGTTGTGTCTTTTCCGTTTTAGCGAATTTCCCTATAGGGAAGTAGCTATTACCGTAGGTGGCATGGTAAGACCTAGGCCCGGGACCGATTGACTTTTTCATTTTGATGTCCCCAGAGGCCAAAAACACCATTCGTTCAAATTTTTATATATGTATATATATATATAGATTTATATATATATATATATATGTGTCCATGAACGCGATAACTTGAGTAATTTTTGTCCGATTTTGATGAAATTTGGTTTAAAGGTGTAAAGCGGGATAAACTTGAATGAGTTCGCGAACCAGCATGATCGGACCATGGGAACGCGGTTTTACGGGGGTTTCATGGGTTAAAAATTGGTTTTTCTCACTTTTGACCCTCAAAACACAAAATTTCCCAATTTCTCTTTAGACCTTTTTAAAGAGCTTAAAAAAACGAATAATTTAGTATATCAAAGTGTTTTTGTTCGGTTATTGGTAACGGAGAAAATTAAAAATTTTTAATTTAAAATTCCCATGTTATTCTTATGGAGAATATTGTAAAATTTTGTAGTTTGCTTGTTTATGGATATATTTTGATCAAACTTGGCAAATTAATTTATTTTACACTAAGTTATTAATATTTGACTAAAAAAACACACTTTATTAGTTTCCTTGTAGCAGCAAACCTAGGTGCTCGTTAAACCTTATGTTATTTAAATATATTTAATGAAAATCAATTCAGACAAATGGAAATTTGCTTAGTCGGCAGGTTTGCTGCGGCGGGGGTATTTCTACTTAACGACTGAATTTAACAAAGTCCTCGACCTAGAGGGTAATTATTTGTCAGTTAATCATAACCAAACCCATGGTTCGCATGTGGAAGTTAGTATCCCTTGGTACTATTTAAAATAGTCAACCCATGATCATGAGCTCATAGAATATGTAGGTTGCCGTATAAAAGTCATTGAGTGAACCTATAATAGTCGACACAACAAAGAGAGTAAACTATTTGGTAAAATACAAAGAATAGCCTTGAATGTAGGCCATTTTAAGCCAACGTTACTACAAACCAGCTTGGGTGAGGTTCTGTGTTTGCGAGATCAAAAATAGCCAAGTTTGTTTACAATCAAGAAGGCCTAAGTTAAGTTGTTCAGAACTAGCGGCGCGATACTGTGCACTTTGACAGCGGACCAGCGCCAGCCCTACTAGTAGTAGCTCCGTGTTCCTCTACATATCTGACAATTCATTTTGTAACTATTAACACTTGTCATGATGTACACTATGTTTGTTGCATTTGTTATTCAGCGCAGCTTATGAAATAATTTAATACAATACTGTAATGATAAAAAAATTTCCATAAAAAATCTAACTAAAATGTGCGAAATATTTAAAATCATTCCTCACTGCCTTATTTAATTTACAGATGGAAAATCCAGTTCTTGTTTTCGAATATTTATTTGATTTTAAATGTTTAATTGGTCTGAAGGGTGCGTAATATAGTTTTTAATTTCATCCAAACTTTAACAAATTACTCAGGGGCTGCAACAGCAATATATCTTTATAGCAAACGGAAAGGGCTGTTATTTGTTACGGCTAAATTTATAAAAAAGACAAAATCATTATAAATTAGTTTTTACTCTTAAACCATTCATCTTTCATCGTTTTAGTGCTTAACTTTTTCAGCTTTCTGAGATAAACGTAACATTAATCCTACTAATATTATAAGTGAGAGAAAAATGTTGGTCGGATTGGGCTGAAGTTTGGTGTGATAATAGCTAACATTCCCAATTAACATATAGACATATTCTTATCTCAAAAATCCTTTGGGGATCCACCCCATTGACTCTGGAATTTCCCATGTTAACCTTATGAATATTCATATGTAAAAGGAATTAAAGAATTTTGTAAGCTGTTTCAACTACACAAGTTTTGAACTTTGTATGATATTAAATAGCATTAAAAGGTTATAAGGTTTACCAACAGGGTTGCATCACTATTATTCTTTTTCATTTATGACAACAGCTAATTCGAACCAACTAGCAACAAAAAGCTGTTATACAATGAGAAATATTTACTTTTTTATTGTTTGGGTGCAGTGGTAGAACATTATATGGCTATGGTAGATGTGATGTATAGCATACCGTACATTTTAAGAACTAAATTTTCTTAAACCGTGTCCTCTCCCATTGCAAAGTATAAGCCAAGTATAACTGCAATAAGTATTTATTTTATACTTATTTTACAACCCCGAACGAAGGACGGGTACTCTGCTAGTAATCCATAAAGATAGTTTCTGTTCAAATAGCCGTGCAAATTCCCATTAAAAAACCTCCCAACGCATGTTTTGTTTATTGTGACGAAACATGATACGTGTATAAATGAGTTGAACTCAGAATAGAATTAACTATTTTATTATTTTTGCAATCAAGCATATTTTTCTATGTACAGTTTGGGCTTGAAGTCATCAAAGTTTCAGCTTTGGGGTTTGTTGTTGAAGTTCTTCACTCGGGTTAAAATGTCATCAGTAAGTTTCCAAATGTCCATTTCATTTCTAAACCGCTTTTCTGCAACAACGACATTCCGATAGTCAGTTAGTCCATTCAATGCCTCGTAAAGTACTTAAGATGCCTCAGCCAAGAGACTACCTCACGACTGTTAACAGACATTATACACTAGTAATTACGTATGATTAAACATTACAACCGTTTTGAAATCATCAATGAAGGAACTAAGGATGGATCTAGGGAATTCCGTTAAAATACGACCCATAAGTAAAGCATCTTACGCTCCAACGCTTTAACGTTCATATGTCTGTATAGTGTTATATTTAAAAGAGTGTATATTAAGAAGACTCTATGTTTTCTTGTATATATCTAGATCATATATCCCATCCCAACATGGGGTGAAGCCCTTCGGTAGATAATAGTGGGCCCAATACTAACACTCATTTAAAGTGTTTCTATATTTTGTTTAGGCCAACATAGATGTGTCCGTTTATGCCATAGCAGATCTTCCCGTGTCCAGTAGCTATGAATTAATTGTCTCAAACCATCGACGGATGGACCTAGTTCGATTTGAAGCAATGACATCCTCGACCTTTAGAGTAAATGCGAGTTTAAAGAATAACAAATTAAATACGTACATGAATAAGAACTCGCTCTGACAATGTTACGGGTGCTTAATTTATATGCAACCGTTAGAAATCACAAACAAAACATTGACGATTACCATTTAGGCTACTTTATAGGTCTTGTTTACATTGTGTATCTTGCGATTTCCTACCAATTTTTGGAAACGAGCTTTCACATGCTTTTATGTTGTTATTGAGCTAGAATCAACATTTCAACCACCTTTTGTATGATTATTTATAGCTCAGATACTTAAAGTGCAACTGAAAGGCTTTATCACCCCCCAGGTCGGCCTACGAAGGTGGCACACTGTACAACAGCATTCGACTACAACCAAGAACCAAGTGGGACCTGATTGGTACACTCGTCACCTGTTGTAGCTCATCGCTCTCCAGTCGTCCCAGGGAGACACCACGGTCACAGTATTCGCATTATGTAAGCGAATGACGCACAGTTTTATGTAAGCACGGTCGCGAAGGTATATAATACACTGACAGGGGACTGCGCTTGAGCCGAGCTATCGACCGGGCGCTGGGACACCTCGGCCCTACACTTGTAGCGTAACAGCTGTCAGAAGTCAGCTCCATTGATCAAGTAGATTCATAAACAATTAAATCATACAAGATGGTATCAACGAATAAAATAAAGCCCAGTCGCCATCTATCAGGGTTAAAATATGTCTCTGTTCTTTGTGATAAAATTGTTATATGGTATCAATATTCGGTACTAATGTTTATAAATTGCCTACACTAAAGTAATCTAATCGTGCTCATTTACTGGTTACTTAAAAGCGTAACAAAATCCTTTATTACCTATTTAATATAGGGCATAATAGGCTACTCAGATAGTCGCATCCTAGAGGGGAAGACCGCCTACTCCTCTGTCTTTGTGTAATACTTGCAATGTCTATCTTTTAACGTTATTGAGTCGTTCGCAACAGAAATTTTTTCAAAACCCAAATTCCCCTTTTCTTGTGCATTACATTACAGTATTAGAAATAACACCAAAATAACAAAAACAAAGATAAACACAAAAACATGCTTCTTTCATAAACATCACGCTTAAAAGAACAAAAACGTATGACAATAAATATCACTCAGTAAGAAATTAATGTAATAAAAGATTGCGTAAATGTTACATTTCGGTTTGGTTTATAACGGTACGTTAGTATTTATATTTCTTGATAGCTCACACACATAAAGACTGGAATAATCATCCTTACACCATACTATAAATACTGAATGATAGGCCTACTGCATAATCCAACTTATTACCATAGCTAATCATATAGGTAGGCAGTTAAAAAGTCTGCACTGAATTAGTATGATAATAGATATGTCACATAAATGTTTTAAAAATAAAACCAACTCTGAATAAATGAGATTTCACATTGCAAATGCTGCATTAGTAAGAAAAATATTACTAACGAAATATTTGTGATTTGACTATGCAGGTAAATTAACAGTTTTTAGGGCCTCTTACATCTTACAACTTGTCCGTAAAAAGTGCACTTTTTGTGAGATTATTTTCATAAATGGGTGTAAATTAATTAATGTTATTTCTTAAACAGTAAACTAGTAATAATTATAATCAAATAACCTAAAGTATTTCTATGTGTTTGTGACACGTATTGTGTTCTATATTTTTACATAGTATTGGGTGTTTTCTCTGTCAGATGAAACCTCCATTATTGGACTTCTACTTTTTAAAACCACAGCAAGGATAGTATAAATGTGTAAGTTACTAACTTTTTCTAAACTTAAATTAATCACCAATAGATTGCCATAAAATCAATATAAGCCTCTCCTTAAAACGAGTGCTGAGTGTTTGATAGATTCTTAATGAAACATTCCTAATAGTAACGTCATCACGGAGGCAAGGAATACTGTAGGTTTATACTCAATGACTGTAGTCACAAACCAACCAGACTTTTTTATAGATCAAGGGAAACCTTCTTTGGGGCAAATATAAAACGCCAAGCTATAGTCACTATTTGTGTTTAATTATAAATCATTATAGGCCATTAAAATACAAAAGAAAAAATAACTGTAGGTACGGTTACGTTCACAAAAAACGAAATAAGCTAAAAGCAATTTAGGATCAATTTATCAAGTAATTAATTCATGACAAATTGTTCAACTTCACTTTTCGTAAGGAATCAGTAGACAAAGTTAGGGTTTATCTTTTAATCCATATATCATATTTTACTGTATGGCCGTAATAGTATAATCATTTCATCATGAGTCGTAAAGTGACTTTTTGGCACGAGCTCAAGCTATAAACAAGTTTTAAAAGCGTTGTTGTCAAGACGTATATTTCTAAAATATGCCAGTATGAACATTTAAAATGGTGCTACTTTGTTAAATTTCTGATGCTACGAAAAGGGTAGTGTAAGAATCAATGAGACCAATTTATATAATGTACTTGTTTACATGCGATTCATGTGTAGAGACGCAGAAGCCGATCCTGTTCCGTGTTATTCAGTGAATACCAGTGCAAAACATTTTACTTCAGAAATTACTATTCTACGGTATAATTTATTTTTTGTAAAAAAATTAACCTACTTCAAACGCTCTAAAAAGAATGAAAAATTTCAATAAAATTTAATTACAAGAGCTTAACCCTAGATCTGGCGCAATATGAATTGCTATTTTGAATTGATTTTTGTGCACTCGGTGTACTTGTAACGTATTTTCTGCCGTAGCATATTTATTTATGTAGGTACATACATAGACATATATTCTGTTTCAGCAATACATTTCGAATAGGCTATAATGATGTAAAAAGCATTTTCTTTTAGCAATCTGTTTGGGCAGAGCAGCAAAAGTTTTCAAATTTTCGGTTTTTGCAAATTACAAATTTTGAAAGCAACCCACAATAATGCAATGAAAAAAAATCTTACACATTTGATTTAAATTTAAAAGTTGTGGCAAATTCATTTCCCTAAGTCAAAATATCAATATGTTTGATAAGCTCCTAAAAATAAAAAAGTTGTAACATGTTTTCCTAAACGATTTTTTTCTAAAGAATATAAGAATTTCATCTGAAGTAAATAAATATCATCACTTTCCATTTACTTTCAGGAAATACATACTTTTATACCTTTTGGTTATAAAATCACTGAGTTATTGACGTCAGAAAGTTAAACTTTTTTTTTCTTACAAAAACATAAATTTTTGGACATTTAAAAAAAGCATAACATTTTTATTAGTTACTCTATACAAATACCTACAATTTTTTTGCTATGATATCACATCGATCTCTAGAGATCGATGTGATACCACTCCTGTTTTCGTCCGATAATTCTTTTATTTTCCATCGGCCAATGAAAACAGCTGTTTTTACCAATTGCACAATTTTCGTCTCCCGCCAGAATACAAATTGAAATCACATGTTTTTTAGAATGCTGTTTTTGGCTAAATACCTAAAATAACTCAATAGCTCGTTTATTCAACCAAAGTAACAAATACAGATTTGCATTAGTCATGTCAAACAAAATAATCGCAGATAATGTTTTATATATGAAAACTAATGCTTAGAACCTCCTCATCTTTCCAATGGTATAAGTTTTATTGCAATTCAAGAGCGTTTACTGATCGCAAAATTAAGTTAAAACCCAGCATGTCGTTCTCAAAGTTCAGTTAATTTTAACCGAAAACTATTAACTGTATAGCATACACTGCCCTCTGGCGGAATACGCTGTAATCATTAAGAATATGATGACAAGAATAACCTAATGTTAAAATTACTGAGCTTTGACGTCCTGTTGTAGCAGAACGACTGAACCGATTTTAATGATTTTAACGTCATTCACGGAATTTAACGTTCTTTAGAAAAGTATGCAAACACTTCTTTTGTGGGATGCACTGTTTTTGAGTTACAAGCGAAAAACTAAAAATGAGCAAAATCGGCCTAGTATTTTTGCCTCCCATACACTTAGCTTACTTCAGAATCCGTCGCAAACTCATTTTTAACTTATTTAGGAAATCCAGAGCAGATTAAAACGATTTCCAGCTTTCTCCCAATTTTTAGGAGCTACAGCTATTTTTTGGGCTAATTTGCCTGGGCTATAAAGCACAAATCGTTAAATTATTCCTAAAATAATATAAACAAAATTTCGTCAACACTAGCAACCAGTGTCACCAGACATGAACTAGTCACGACAACGAGTTTCAAAATTTACAGCACGGGATGAGAAGTCTATTTGTGTTGGTTTGTCTATGGTTTTATCGGATGAGCCTTGGACGATTTAAGTGGAGATTTAAACGTAGGATTCAAGTACATTTAACATTTAATAACGATTAATGAGGCTGATCTGTAAAAAATTTCCTTTACAACATTCATATTTCATATAGTCAAGATCTCGTAAATTTTACATTTGCTTGAACTATTGAAGTTATTGAAATTGGGTAACCAAATAACGCAACAATATAGTCAGTTAGTTTTATCACTGCCGTACCCGTACCGATACAAGACAAAACTGATGTATCGTGGACAGGACCGAAATTACGTTTCCAGCCCTTGTATATAGGAACTTTGACTATTGCCCACTTAATTACGCTCCAAAGTTTGTAATGAGAATTCCCAATGTGCCTACAGAGCCAAGGGAAAATATATACGAGAAGTATCCAAAAGAACCATCGTCAATCGTAAAGGATATCATAGTACCTTTGAGACTCTTGGATGTGGAAAATCACAATTTCTTTAAAGCAAGTAGAGTGTTTCTAAACTATTGCCAATTTAACAACATACCGTTGAGGAAGCACTGCGGGCAGGGATGTGTGTCTGTGAGCCGTAGAGGTCCCTCAGCACCTGGACGATGTTCCTTAGGGTTCCACAGGAAGATGTAGTAGGCTGACAGCATGATGGCTGCCATGCTGACCGACATCATGTAGGCTACCACGGTCAGCAGCCGGACGATCTTCTTGGTCTCCGGCTTGCGGTTGGAGGGTTTGTTAGCCTCAGGGTCGCGGTTGGGCTGCGGCACGGCGCCCACATTGTTGGGGGTTGTCTCGGCCATCACTGGCTCTCCGTCGCGACGTCGTTACACAACTACTGAGCCTGTTAGACGCCCCCTCCTCCCCTCCAACGGCCGACACAGTTACAGTAATTGGTCAGCGGTGGCTTACTGTAGCGTTCGTGCTCATGTGGTACTTAATGATTTAAGTTCATGTTTAATGCAATTGCCTTGTAAACACATTACATGAACAAAGTAATTCGTTGGGGTGTTTGGGTGTATTTACGCCACTGGCATTTTTTATCCAGTCAATTAAAACATTTTTAAGGGAAAGTGGTCATAACCAACGTTTTGTGGATGTGCCATAAATGGAACCCCTCCCTCCGTACTGTAAACGGTATTGAAAAATGATCGGTTATGTATTCGTGTTGAAAAATATACTGAAGCATGTTACCAAGACTATATTTGCGTAGAATGATGACCAATTAATTATTAATAAATAAATGACCTCAACAATATGAACCTGATTCCGTTCGAATTCT